CCCTGTAGGAGCTGGATTACCACTCCAAGAGCAGGACAGTCAGTCCCTGCAGTGAATCATCAGCTTTTCAAATGCAAAATTAAATATCGGGTGGGAGCTGTAAATTCTCTAACAATAGTGTCTGTTTCAGGTGATCACCCTTGTGATCAGCCCAGTTCACCTCAGCTTTATGATTTTCATTGGGTTTTGTGGAAGGGTGTTGCATTCTTCTTGTGATTGATTTCTAAAAAGCCGAATCACAAGAATATCCATTTTATTTAGGAAATTTCAGCCCTATCAGTACTGTTCCAGCTCTGGTAGTGAGCAGATTGATCAAATCTCATCTTAAGTCTCTTGCAGGGTTTCATCAGACTGGACATGTCGGAGTTCCAGGAGAGGCACGAGGTCAGTAAATGGGCTCTGAGCAGGCAGCTGCAAGTTTAATGCAAAAAAAAATGGGCATTTTGGAGTGTCAAAGGAGGAACACAAGGGAGCAATAGGAGTTGCTCAGAATTATGCATTAAGTTGCAATTAAATTGCCAGAAAGCAACTTTCATTAGGACAAATCAGGCAAATCCCCATAACATTGCCAAGTCCACTGCAGGATCACCACCTCAGGCTATCTTCCATGGAGGAAAGGAGGAGAATCCAGCAGAAGACAGGATGGTGGTGCCAAGTCCACCTCTCCCATTGCACCTTCTGCCCAATTCTGGTGCTACAGGAGAGGAGGAACATTCACCAGGGTCACCCCTGGACCTGAGGAGGTCCTAAATCCCTTTGGGGGGCTCTGACTCCCCAAAAAGCAACAAGGTCCTCGCAATGAGAGTGGTGAGGCAGTGGCACAGGTTGCCCAGAGAAGCTGTGGCTGCCCCATCCCTGGGAGTGTTGGAGGCCAGGTTGGATGGGGCTTGGAGCAACCTGGGCTAGTGGAAGATGCACCTGCCCATGGCAGGGAGTGGACCTGGATGAGCTTTAAGATCCCTTCCAGCCCAAACCATTCTGTGATAACGCACTGCGACAGATGCACAGACCCAGGTTGCTGGAAGGTGCAACAAGCTGTATATCAAAACCTGTCATTTTATCAAAACACTTGGTAATTGTTAGAAATATTATTCTAAATAATCTAGATAACCTTCTCAAGGTTTGAACTTCATTTTAAAAAGCAGCATGTCAAGAAGTGATGACATAGGAAAAGTATTTTCCTTGTGGCCTCTTCCCAACCTTTGATTCTCCATCAGAGCCACTTGCCACTCATTTGAATTCTTGCTCTTAAAAATGCTGAAGGAGATGAAAACAGGTCTTGGACAGCTGGGACATGTTGCTTAGACCCTCTGTAGCAAAGCAGGGCTGGTGCCTTCCCTTCTGCCCATGACTGCTCCTTGGATTCTGCTGGTTCAGGCTCTGGGCAGGGTAATTGCTCAATCTTTATTGTGCTTAATTGTTGCTTATTAAGCTGATTTGGGGATACCTGGGGTGAGATAGGTGTCACAAAGAATATAGAACTTGATTTATCTGTAGCAAAGAGCAGTGACTGCCTGCTGAGCTACCAGGAGGGCTTCATTCTCAATGTCCATAGACTAGCCTTCACCTGTCTTGTTCCTTTCTCCCAGGTGGCGAAGTTCATTGGCTCTCCTCCTGGCTATGTGGGCCATGAAGAGGGAGGGCAGCTCACCAAAAAGCTGAGGCAGTGCCCAAATGCTGTGGTGCTCTTTGATGAGGTGGACAAAGCCCACCCAGACGTGCTCACCATCATGCTGCAGCTGTTCGATGAGGTAAATTCACGTTTCGGGGTCAGAGTTGACACAAAGGACGTGCAGAAGGTGACAGTGAGCAGAGCAAGGGATGACGGACGGAGGAATCAAAACAATCATTGAATTACAGGATGGTTTCACCCCCCCTGCTATGGGCAGGGACACCTTCCATTAGACCAAGTTGCTCCAAGCCCCATCCAGCCTGGGCTGGAACACTTCCAGGGATGGGGCAGCCACAACTGCTCTGGGCAGCCTGTGCCAGTGCCTCACCACCCTCACAAGAAAGAATTTCTTCCCCATACCCCATCTAGCCCTGCCCTCTGGCAGTGTGAAGCCATTCCCCCTTGTCCTGTCACTGCAGACCCTTTGTCCAAAGTCCCTATCCAGCTCTCTAGTTGATTTTGAAGGTCCTTCTCTGTCCTCAGAGGCCACCAAACTCCAGAGCAACATGCTAGAATGTTTTGGAGGGTTTTTTTGTTTTTCTTTTAAGGATTAATAACACCATTTTTCTTGCATAGATCATCGCAGCAGCAGCTCAATGTGAAATCAATTCCTGTACCAGGCACTTGACAGGGCAATAACCCAAATGTTAATCTCAAGCACCCAACAAGGATTTGTGTCATTGTGCTGGATCTCTGCTGCTGGAGACGGATCGAGGAAAGAAACAGCCTGGGGAGATGCTGCTTTTTTCCTTATTTTCCTCTCTTTTTTGTTTTATTAATCAAGAGCACTGGTATTTTGGAAGGGTTGGGGGGGCTGAGGGTTGATGCCATGCAGTGGTGGTCATCCCACCACTAAGCACAGTGCTGGGCAGTCCTGGTTTGGTTTGATAGGCAATCTCACAGGGATGAGGGACACTGCTGCTCAGGTCACTCTGTTACAGCATAACCTGGTGATCTGTGGGCTCTGCCCAGCCCAAACCACAGCCATGGGCAGCACTGGGGTCACGGTTAGGGTTAGTGCTGAGCTAAGCCTGGGACTCCTGTGGCAGACCTAAAACCAAGGCAGAGAAGTAAGCAGAGGTAGGTAGTCTGGGGATTTACATACAGGCAGCCACACAGAGTCATGGAATCATGGAATCAGTGTGGTTGGAAAAGCCCTCTGAGACCTTGTAGTCCAGCAGTTCCCCCAGCACTGCCAAGGCCACCACTAAACCACATCCCCAAGTGCCACATCTACACAGCTTTAAAATCCCCCCAGGGACTGTGGTTCCACCACTGCCCTGAGCAGCCTGTGCCAGGGATGGACAACTCTTTGGGGGAAGGAATTTTCCCAGTACCCAACCTAAACCTCCCCTGCTGCAATCTGAGGCCTCTTGTCCTGTCACTTGTTACCTGGAAAGAAGATATCACACCCCACCTGGCTCCAGCCTCCTGCCAGGAGAGCAAGGAAGGTCCCCCCTGAGCCTCCTCTTCTTCAGGCTGAACAAAGACATGGGCTGCCCCAACCCTCCTCCTGGCAAGGCATCTCCCAGCGCTTCCATCAAATCTGTCCTAGATGGGGCAGGCTGGGGCCATGCACAGGGCAAATTCCTGCCATTCCTGAGAGAGATGGGGACTTCTCCAGCTTTATCCTTGCTTCCTTCTGCCTCTATCCTTAGGCATCTCTTCAAAATGAAATCCACTCTGGCAAAAAATGGGACCCATATTGTTTTTCCTGGTGTTGTGGCAATGTCCCACAACACCTGCTGACACTCCTCATGTCATGTCATTGTTGCAGGGCAGGCTGACGGATGGAAAGGGGAAGACCATTGACTGCAAGGATGCCATCTTCATCATGACCTCCAACGTGGCCAGCGAGGAGATCGCACAGCATGCTCTGCAGCTCCGGCAAGAGGCCATGGAGATGAGCAAGAAAAGGATCGCGGAAAACTTAGGTACTGGAACTTGAATGTTCTACTCCAAATCCCTAAAGAATCTCCCTCCTTCCTGACACAACTTTGTTTTACACCAGCTCAGCCATCCCTCTGCAGGGGGCACACCAGTCCCCTCTCTGCTGATTCCCACTGGTCCATGCAACTTGGGAATGCTCCTCTGCCAGGAAGTCATGGAATCACAGAAAGGTTTGGGTTGGAAAGGACCTTAAAGCTCATCTTATTCCAACCCCCCCTGCCATGGGCAGGGGCATCTTCCACTAGTGCAGGTTGCTCCAAGCCCTGTCCAACCTGTCCTGAAACACTTCCAGGGAAGTGAGCACAGGATGAGGAAGACTGAGAGGCCTTCTCCAAAGATGCAATTTCCCTCTGAAGGATGGAATTTCAAATAATGAGGGTGTCAGAGCAGGTGGATTGGAACTGAGTGGTAATTAAGGTCCTTCCCATCCCAAACCTTTCTGGGATTGCATGATTTCCTTTAAGGTGAGGGCCTTTCTTCTTTCAGGACCCTTCCAAATGCTTCCTGAAAAAGTCTGTGGCAAGTCCAGGTGCTCATTTTAAAGGGGAAGAGTTTTGTTTCCTCACAGTCCTTTCCAAACAGACTGAGCTTAATCCATTTTACTTCCCCTTGGAATGGAAGCCCTGGAGAAAAATTTCTCAGGCTTTTGAAGAAAAACTTCCCAAAATGTGAATCAGGTAATAAAATGGGAATTGAGAAGAGCAAGAGCAGCCTCTGAGATTGGAACTAACAACTTGATGTGCAGCCTCCAGTGCCTTTGGTGGTAACTCCAAGGACAGACAGACAGTGATGCCAGCACCAGGGGCTGCCCCTTCCTGGCAGTGTTTGCCACACGGAGCAGAGGGAAAGCCAGTCTCCATCAAGTGCTGCTGTGTCCGTGGATAACCAGGCAGCCCTAGTTGGTGACTGTGTCCCTTCTTTACTCATCAGTTTTAAAAAACTCATCGATTTGGGGTTTTTAAGACCCTTTTATGATCTTAAATATCTGGACACCACACCTTCCCCAGGGTATCCAGCAGCCTGTGCCATCACAGGTACACCATATTCCTTCATCAGCTCCACGGGAGCGTGAAAAAACATTGGATTTTGGCATCAAATCTATTTTCTGGCTTCTTTCTTCCTGTCTTTCCCTTTTTGTTTGGAGAAGTAGCTGCCGGCACTGACTTAATTCAGAATGTTTAAGCTTCAATCAGGCTGGGGAAAGGACAAAGCACGTCGGCAACTGAACTTTCCAGAATAGCATTTGAAAATGCCAAACGTTTCCCTGCTAAATGAGGAGAGCATTGAATTTTAATTTCTGGGATGGTACAGCTGCAGCAGGAGCAGAGCTGGAGAAGGTGTTTGGGCTCAGCAGCTGCCCTCAATTGGGTTTCGAGGAGCTTCTGCCCATTTCCCGAGCTCTCAGTGTAGATGCTGTGGCAGGAGGTCACTTTAAGTGCCTGGTGGGCAGATAAATGGGAAGATAAAGAGAAGGAACTGCTTCCCCAGTGGCTCCACATCCACCAGTGGCTGCTGCAGATACATTACAGGTGGGAAATGGGAGTGCTGGGAGCAGTGCTGGCTCCTCTGCCTTCCCCAGATCCCCTCTGCCAGAACAGTGGGACAGACATGATGGCATCCCTGCCCACGGCAGAGGGGTTGGAACTGGATGAGGTGATACAAGAGCTCCAGCACTGCTTTGGGCAGGAGGGGTTACCTCCTCACTCCCTACAACTGCCTGAACAGAGGGTGCACCCAGGTGTGGGTTGGTCTTTTCTCCCAGGTAACAAATGACAGGACAAGAGGAAATGGGTTCAAGTTGTGCCAGGGAGGTTTAGGTTGGATATTGGGAAAATTTCTTCCCCAAAAGTGTTGTCCATCCCTGGGACAGGCTGCCCATGGCAGTGGTGGAGTCCTCATCCCTGGAGGGATTTAAAAACTGTAGATGGGACATGGTTAGTGGTGGCCTGGGCAGTGCTGGGGAATGGTTGGACTTGATGGTCTCAGAGGGCTTTTCCAACCTAAACCCATGGTTCTGTGCCAGCACTGGAATTGGTCCAGTGGAGCCTGAGAACCCTTTCTGCTGCTATTTGGGGGGCAACAATCCTCTTCAAGGCTGCAAAGCTGGGACAGGCTCCCAGCAGCCAGCGTGCGTCTCTCCCCTGCCCTGCCCTGCCCTGCATGTCAGGATCCCTTCCAGAGCACAGGGATATTCCTGGGGCATCCTTGTGTCGAACAACTTGCACAGCAGAGTGGGTGAAGCTGTGGGAAGACCTGGGGTGATGAAGACAAAGAGGAAGGTGGCATTGATGGGCAGATGGGTGACCCTGCAGCCGAGCGTCCAGTGCGGCTGGGAGCCGGGATTCGGGAGCAGCCAGACCCTGGCTCCATCTGCAGTCAGCGGAGGGAAGTAGACTGTGGCTGGAGCAGTGGCACAGACACCCTGAACATGCATTTGGTGTTTGCTGGGAACACCAGGGACTGTTCCTGTGCTGGTCCCCCTGTGCTGGGACCAGTGTGCTCTGTGTGTCCAGTCATCAGTGGGCGTGGAGCCTGAGTGGGGTCACTGCCTGCCTGAAGCCTCTGGGGACAGCTCCTGGGGGTCCAGGGCAGGGAGCAGAGGCAGAGCCAGGGCTTGTTGGCCATGCAGGGGAGCCACGTCGGCACTGGGTGCTCCCCTGGGGCACTATGGGACACCCACAACTGCTGTCCACAGTGTCAAGTGCAGGGACACCCCACAGCCAAACCAACCTCCTGGCACATTTGGAGGTCCCAGGTCTGTCCTGCAGCCCCCCCAGACTCCCATTAACCCCCTGGTCAGCTCCAGCTCATCCAGAGGGAAAGCCACAGTCCCCACTGACACCCGCTGTTCCCTCTTGTCTTCCAGAGGATGTTCAGATGACTGACAAGATCACCATCTCCAAGAAGTTCAAGGAAAAGGTTATTCGCCCCATCTTGAAGGTATGGATGGTGTTTTCATGGCTCGTGTTCCAGGTGTCCCGAGCTTTGGTCCCAGATTTCTTGCCTATGATATCCATGTTCCTCTCCCAGCTGTGAGAGAAGGCATGTAACCCCATTTATTCATTCTCAGCCACTAAAAATGTTGGAGCGACCTTTCAGCAAGGTCAGAGCCCAGCAGAAATAAATCACGGCTTCTTCCTCACTCTTGGAGCAGAGCCAAAATGTGGGATGGGAAGGGGATACAGGACAGGAAGTGCTGCAGTGGGATTTGGGGGTTCTGTGCTCTCCCAAGGTCCTAACTGCAGCAACATCCCCATGACCTTCAGTTTTTTCAAGATGTTTTTGAAGCACTTCAGGGTGCTGTCCAGCTCCATGGCGTGGGTGGGATGGCTGCTGGGAGCTGTGGGAGGTGGGAGTGATCCCCAGGGAGCTCCTTCTGCAGTGCCACTGCCACTGCTGTCCCCACTGACCTCCCCCTTACCCCTGCAGGCTCACTTCAGACGTGACGAATTCCTGGGAAGGATCAATGAAATCGTCTATTTTCTCCCTTTTTGTCACTCGGAGCTCATCCAGCTGGTCAACAAGGAACTCAATTTTTGGGCCAAAAAGGTAAAAGCCTTGGCTTTAGAGGGCACTTCTCAGAGTAACTCCAGAAGAAATCCTTGCTGGAGCCTGTGTCCTGAGGTGGACACAATGATGTGTATCTTTACCACCATCTTACATACACTGTGGAAGCTTGAGATGCTGGGGCGGATTGGGACGTCTGGGGGTGACAAGGGATGGTTCTTCCTGGGATGGGGCAGGGATGAGCTCCAGGACACCTTCAGACTTGTCAGCTTTCTAATTTGTCTATGCACATCTGAGCTCTCGGGGTGGCTATGTGGGATTTGGGGGACCCCTTGCTGTGGTGGGACTGGCATAGTGAAGCTCTGCCCTTCCCTTGGACTCCCAGCACCCAACCAAGGTGTCCCCGCTGCCCTTTGAACGGGGTGCCACACTTTCTAGGAGGCATCCGTGACTCTTCCTTTTCTTCCTTCTCTTCCTCACCTGGCAGGCCAAGGCGAGACACAACATCACACTGCTGTGGGACAGGGAGGTCATGGATGTGCTGGCTGACGGCTACAACCTGCACTATGGTGCCCGCTCCATCAAACACGAGGTGAGGGCAAGGGGGAGCTGGAGTGAAGTCCACTGTCACCTCCAGCCTCACTGCCCAAGGTGAGCCAGGAGGTTGGAAAGGCATCAAGAGAGACATGGAGCTGTTGGAGCAAGTTCCAAGGAGGACATGGAGATGCTCCGAGGACTGGAGCACTTTGCTCTGGGACAGGCTGGGAGACCTGGGGGTGTTCAGCCTGGAGAAGAGAAGGCTCCAGGGAGACCTGAGAGCCCCTACCTGTGCCTAAAGGGGCTCCAAGAGAGCTGGAGAGGGACCTTGGACAAGGGCCTGGAGGGACAGGACAAGGAGAAATGGCTTCCCACTGCCAGAGGGCAGGGTTAGGTGGGATACTGGCAAGAAATTATTGGTTGTGAGGGTGGTGAGGTGCTGGCACAGGTTGCCTAGAGAAGCTGTGGATGCCTCATCCCTGAAAGTATTCAAGGTCAGGTTAGGGCTTGGAGTAACCTGGTCTAGTAGAAGGTGTCCCTGCCCATGACAGGGAGGGTGGAATGGGATGAGCTTTAAAAAGTCCTTTCCAAACCAAACCATTCTATGATTCCATGACTGTGTGGGTCTGACCCTCCCTGTCCCGGGGGAGATGTCCGTGGTCTGGAGGAGGAACTGGCACAGTCACACTCCAGAGAGAGGGAATAAGTGGGATGAGGAGGACATTCCATGATCCTGCACTGTCTGAGGGTGGGAAGGAGCTGCCCAGCCCCATGGGAGGCTTCCCGGAGGGCTTTCCTGTCAGGATCTGGTCTGTCCCTCAGGTGGAGCGGCGCGTGGTGAACCAGCTGGCAGCTGCCTACGAGCAGGACCTGCTGCCACGGGGCTGCACCCTTAGGATCACCGTGGAGGACTCAGACAAGCAGCTGCTGAAAACCACAGAGAGCTCTTCCCCCAGCACAGAAAAATCCAAGGTGCCAACCCTGCGGCTGGAGATCGTGGAGAAGGACAGCAAGGCCCGAAAACTGGAGATCCAGGCGCCACTGAACCCCGAAAACATCACTTACTTTTTGTAGGCAGTGCCAGGCGCTCCCAGTGGCAATAAAGTACCCCAAGAGTCGGAGTGTGCAGTGTCAGAAAGGGCAGAGCCACAGTCCTGCTGCCACTGGGCACGGACACGGGCACGGGCACTGCCTCAGGGTGGGCATGAAGGGCTCTGGTGGCGCAGCTGTGGGTGACGAGGTGACCTGATGCCCTTCAGGGATGGATCAGTGGAGGGTCCTGGAGTGTCACAGGGTGTTGGAGCTTTTCAAGGAAGGGGGAAGCAGATTGTGGACCATGCAGGAGACAGGATGGATTTGTCATTCCTGTGGGAGGGGGCTCGCTGGGATAGCTGGGCTGGCGACGTGGGGACAGGGACTGCGTGTGAATGTAAAAGCCACCAGGCTGTGGCTCTGTATCATCCCTGTTTCTCATGTTATATGGCAATAAACATGCCGTGCACATCCAACCCTCTGCGTCTTCGGACAGCACGGCCGTGGGGATCACCCATGGCCATCCTGGGAGACTCCTGTCTCTCCTGCTTATCACCAGGAGCCAGGAACATCACCAGGAGCTGGGAACATCAGTGGGAGCCAGGACCATCACTGTCGCATCTCTCCAGCCCAGCCAGGCAACATCCCGGTGCAAACAGCTGAATCTCTTTTTCCCAACCTTCTTCCAGGATGTATTTCATATCTTGGGTGTAAATGAGCTATCTAACTTCTCATGGGAACATGGAGCCTGTGGCTCCCATGGTGGCTCCTTCAGGGACCTGGTCATGGTGGTACAGGACATGGCCACTGCCAGAGCCACCCCAGCCATGGATTCTAAAGAGTAGGACGTGAAAATACAGATGGAAATTGAACCCTCCTCAGGATTAATGAGCCCCAAGTCACCATACCATTGGATGAGGATAGGGATGGATTGGGGGGGGCCAGCAAGCTGCCAGAGTCCCCATCCCACTGTGACCCCCTGCTCCAGTGCTCCCATGGGGGTTTGGTTCTGGTGCGGGTGCTCATTTTCCAGGGATACGAGGAGGTTTGGGGGGGCTGCCTTGAGCCCTCTTCCCATCCCAGTCGCTTTTTCCTGGCTTAATCCCAGGGGCTGGAGCAAGATCCCATCCCTGGAGGTTTGGGAGCCTCACCAGGCTCTTTTGGAGCCTCCCAAGGTCAGATTGACTCCCACGGGTGCAGTGGGTGTGCAGTGAGGTGTGCACAGGCATGCAATGAGGTTTACACGTGTCTGCATGAGTGTGTGTGGAGCACAGGGGTGTGCACAGGAGCGCACGAGTGTGTGTGAGTGTGCACTGGCATGTACAGGTGTGCACAGGAGTGCACGAGAGCGTGTGGGTGTGCACCTCAGTGAACCTCACAGTGCCATGTGCCATGTCATGCTGTGTCAGGTCACACACTGTCATGCTGACTCACACCATCCCATTCCATGCCATGCTATTCCATTCCACACTATGCCTCCCTCTGCCATGCCACGTCACGCAGTGCCATGCCGTGCCAGACCCATGGAGTGCAGCCCTGCAGGCAGGAGTCAGGGCCCTCCCCGACCCTTTGAGATGTTTTTCTGGGTGCCAGTGCAGGTGAATGGGTTCCCACTGCCAGGAACAGTGCCTAGCAGTGCAGGATCCACAGAGAGAACCACCAGGCTGTGCCAGGGACATTCAATTCCCAGTGCTGTCACCCTATGCTGGCTTCTGATCTGGTTGGGGCAGTGGGTACCACCAGTGTGGGTGCTCAGGGCACCCTGGAGCACCCCAGCTTCGCCTCCAGGAACAATGTCACAGTGGACAGTCTTCAGAACTGTTGGGAGCAGCTGTGGGGCTGGGAGAACCACCAGAACCCCCCCAATGCTTAACCTGGGGGTCTCCGTGTGGTGACGAAGGCTGGTGGGTGTGGGAGGGATGGGAGTCATGGGGTGGGTGCTACCACCCCAACCAAGCTGGGGCAAGAGCTGGGGGAACGTGGGGTGTGACCAGAGGGGATCCCGTGGAGGGGTCCTGTCAGAGAGGTCCACCTATTAGAAGGGATCCCATCAGAGGGGTTCCCGTGGGAATGGTCCCATTGCGGGGGTTCCCATCAGCCCCCCAGCTCCAGAGGGACCCCAACCCATCCATGCACATGGACATGGCCCCAAAGCCCACAGTCAGTAGCCTCCAGAGCCCAGTGGAAAAAAAGAGTAGCCTCCAGAGCCCAGTGGGATGGAGGGATAGGGGTCCCTGTCCCCATCTCCCCCATAGCCCTCCCCAATGCCAATGCCACCCATTCTGGGGACAGGGGATGTCAGCCTCTGCCCCCACTCCCTGTTTGGCAGCACTAGGGACAGCTGGGCACCCTTGCTGCCAGCACTCATCTTCCTTCATCCACCAAAATCCGGAGGGATCACTCACATCCACACTCGCGGGAGCTGCAGGGATGCAGGGCAGCTCCCTGGCCCAACCCCCCAGCTGCCCCCCATCCTGCTCCCCTCCTT